ACATCTGGCTACCAACGGCACAGCAGAGAGAACTAATGCTGCAGTGGAACGGTATCTCCGTTGTTATGTGCAATATCAGCAAACAGATAGGACAGATCTACTGCCATTTGCTGAAGTTGCACTTAACAATGCAGTACATAGTAGTACTGGGTATACTCCATACTGTATTGTGAATGGGTTTGATTTCATGGCTATACCTGAATGTCCACAAGCCACTGCTGATCACGGAACCATAAAGGAATGGATAGACTACATGCATCCAGTGTGGGAAAATGTCCAAAAAGCATTGCGGGTAGCAGCAGAAACGTACAAGAGACACTGACAAGAAACGTAGTCCACAACCAACGTTTTGGGTCAGGGATAAGGTATTTTTATCTACCAAGTATATACGCCTTAAAGTGCCCTGCCATAAGCTGGTTCCAAGTTCATAGGTCCATTCCCAATTGTCAGAGTAATTAATCCGGTCACGGTAGAACTAAAGCTGCCTTCCCTGTTGGGGAAAACCCACCTGATGTTTCACAACAGTTTACTCAAACTAGTGACCACCACTGGGCTATGTAATCTTCCAACACTACTGTCTCCAGTGCAGGTTGATGATGAATGCCATTATGAAATCAGATAGTCGTCATGGCACGTTACAATATTTGGTAGTTTGGAAGGGATACCCAATTACAGATGCATTGTGGGTGAGGTCCTCTGAGATGCGCATACCATGCCTGATCACCAGTTCCATCGTCGATAACCTGATAAACCTATAGAGGATACCGCTAATAGCGCCTTTTGTCTTCCAGAGTCCTCTCCAGTGGTAGGGGCGGCATGTCAGCCCTCGGGCTGCCACTCAGCGGGGAGCCTGTCCATCACCATGCCCGCTCGGCCATGCTTACACATTACCAACGCTGCCACATTGATGTTGACTCTCTGATGTTGGCAGAGCCTATAGCTGCATGTGGCTCTGTAAGGCTTCCCTCACTGCTCTGCAGAGTAACTCTTCTACTTGGGTGCAACTGCCTACTCTGACGTAACTCTTTTACTTGGGTGCAGTTGCCTACTCTGATGTAGCTCTTCTGCTTGGATGCAGCTAACCAGGAAGGAGGCTATGATGACACTGAGTGGGGGGGTGGCTGAGGATGTGCGTCATGATTGGTGATGGTGGTTGGGTGTAATCTGGGTAGTTGTGGGTGGAGCTGTGGGTGGGGTAATGGTATATTTATGAGTAATGGTGTTAACTTAGTTAGAATTTTCTTACTTCTGTATCATTGTCATTTAGTGCTGGTTATCATGTAATATTAGATAAAGTTTTTCACCAAACAAACTGACTCTCTGTTTGCATTCAACGTGAACGTGACAGGAACAGCTTGCCTTCAAAAGTTGTATATGCTTCATCGCTGCAGGTTTTTAAAGAAGACTGGACAATCACTTGTCTGAAATGGTATATGGTTGGACCAGATTCCCAACCAGGGGTGCGAGACAATATTCCAGGTGTGCAAAAATTTGGGTTTAGAAGTTTCAGAATTATAGTGTATATGCATAATTCAAATCAGGTATTACTTTTGTAAGGGTGCAAGAATATATCAAAACCATTCTAGGGGTGCAGTGTATAGAAAAGGTTGGGAACCGCTGGTCTCTTCCAGCTCTATTCCAACACCCATGTTTCTGTTACCACAAAAGAAGAGTAACTCGACAACTGGCACATTGATTTTTATATTATTTTTGCAACAAAGGCAATGGCAGATCTTTCATGATGGTGTAGCATGAGGACTGGGGGCTTCAGCTTGATTTTTCTTCCTGTAAAGAGTTCTTGGGACAGTTTGGAGTTCTGCATTATCAACTGGAATTTGATAGTGCTGGGAATGGGATATGTCTAGTTTGATGAAAAAAAGAACCAGGAGTGACATGATAGCAATGTTCCAATATCTAAGGGGCTGCCACAAAGAAGAGGGAGTCAAGCTTTTCTCTAAAGCAGTGATCCCCAACCCCCGGTCCACGGACCGGTGCCGGGCCATGGAGTACCTGGCACCGGGCCGTGAAGCGGCCGGGGGCCATGATC